TAATTAAAAAATGTGACCACAAATTAAAAAATTAAAATGGATAAATTTGTCAATAAAATTAAAAAATTTTAATTCTCTAGCGATTTGGTACAAAAAGTTACATAAACTAGTTTTTTCAATCCGCTAGCAGTTTGGACCTTAACCGTTATCCGTTAGTTTCAAACCGTTAAATAAAAATTTTACCAAATACTTTATTTGTAATGGTTTCGAAATATATAAATTTGCCAAACACCAATATTTAACGGTTTAGGTAAAATCGCTACCTACTACCCCAAACCACTATACCAAACGAGGCCTTAGTATAGTTATGATTTTTTGTTTTGATTTTTGTTTGCAACTATTTAAAACTAAAATTAAAACTAAAAATCTAACAATTTGTTTAAAATGAATTTTAATACTAATAACTAAAAATATAAATTTGTTTAATAATATTAAGACTATTTGTTATTAAGAGGAAAAATATATATATCAAGATGTCCAACAATAATCATATAATAAATTTGATACAATTGGACTCCACATTATATTTCTTCTTTTTCTCTTATCTAATAATTATAATAATATGTTACAAAACTATATAAAAATAAACAAAATTTTTGTTTAAAGTTGTTAACTTTATAAAAATTAAAATAAAAAATAAAAAAATTAATCAGAATTTAAGATTACATTTCCAAAATTAAAGATAAGATATTCATTTGACACGAAAACTATGAGAAAGTGTTTATTTTCCTTTTCCTTGCGCGTTAAGCATATAATACGCGGTTAATCCCCACAAATGGTTGTCTGAAAACAAGACAAAGAAAGAAAAGGTTGAAAAAGAGCGTACAACGCAGATGCCAATCTGAAACGAAAGTAAATTGCCGCGTAAGCTGTAGTTTCAAGTCAAAAATGACCAAGACGGGATAAACATATCATGAATTTTTATTTTACACTCTAATATAATTTAAATTATAAAATAATTTTTTAATATATTATACAATAATCTTTGAAAGAACCGCTACTATAAGCCAGTATTAGTGCGGAGACATTTTTTAATTTAATCTTAAGATTAAAAATCTATTTTTTAACCATATAAAAGATAAAAAAAAATAAATGATTGTATTATAAAAAGAATTTTTTTATATTATTTTTTTATATAACTTTCACACATTATTAAATAAGTAGATACATTCAATATTATAAATTTCACATGAATAAAAAGAACCAACCATTAAAATAACACGTCAAATTATATAAAAAATAATTTAAAAAATTATCTTAAAATTATTTTTCAAAAAAAAACACATCACAGTTTCAAAGTTAATAGATTACAAATGGTTTAATATCCAATTTGGTCCCTAAACTTTCATTTCAAAACTTAATTCATTCTTTAATTTCAGAAAACACTCAAATCGTCTTTAAACTTTATTTTTTCAAAACTCAAATGGTCCTTCCGTCACTGAAGTGCCCAACTGGCACATTAACTTGCCACGAATTAACACTTTTATTTTAGAAAAGCTAGGTGGGAAAAAAATATTGATTTGGTAATTTTAATAAATTTAGTAGAAGAAAATATACAATTACAATATTAGCCCTCCCTTAT